CTATTTTATTATCCCTTCTCTTGGCAAATGAAATTAATACCATTTAAAATCTGATAAATCTAACAATTTTTTTAGAAGCTAAAATTATGAATTCAGCAATGGGAATTCATGTGCCATATTAGAGGATGCATGGAAATGGGGATCAGGAGCCCTGAGCTCTAGCGCTACTGCCACTTTGTTTGCTGTGTGATTTCTGGCTGGTGTCAAGCATCTCTGGGTCCATATCCTCTATCTATATGTTAAAAGGGGATGTATTTTACTTTAAATTATAAGACTTTTGGTTAGGCTAAAAATATTGCTCAACAGACTGAACCAAGGGCTGCAGCAAAGAATGTGAAACTTAGAAAGATCTTATGTCAGTACAAATGTCAGGTCAGCTTCTGTGTTAAGATACAGAAAACCTGCTGTGCAAACACAGGATGAGGGAGATGTGGCTTAAAAGACTGCCTGTGTAAGAGAGGACTTACGATGTGGCTGCTAAAAAGCTAGTGCTCTTTTAGGGAGCATTATTTGGAATACAGTGATTAGAAGAAAGAGGTAGTTACAGTCACTATTGCTGGTCATGCCTGAGAGAGCCGACATGGGGTCTGAAGCCAAAAGAAAATAAGCCTGATGGGAGAGCCAATGTAGCAGATTTCATCTCAAAACAAGTGTGTAGGAGCACATTTATGCTCCTCCTTTTATACATAAGGAGATGGAAGTGTAGGGTGGTAGAGACTTGCCTTACTTTGTGTAACAAGGCTTTCCACTAAAAACAACTAGAATGATGGATAAAATATAAAAAGAAAAAGATCCATCATTTAAAAATGTATAAGAGATATGAAGACAGTAAGGAAGTAGTTTGTCAAACCTAAAATCCCAGAGAGAAAATGAACATAGGAAGCCACTTTAGCCTCAAGGGCATTTGCTGATCTTGTTGAAATTGAATTACGGCTTGACAGTCCCATGAGCTAGAGAATCAAAGCCAAGGGCACACTGAAGGTGGGACATCTAATCAGAGATGAATCTGGGGTCCTACAGGGATAACCCCTCAAGATAGAGTGAACCAGAACTAAACTCATTCCCCTCATCCCACAGCCAGGGGGAAACCATCTTGGAATGAACAGAGAAGGGGAAGGTAGAGGGTAGACTGGTTCTCTTGTAAAACTGTAGGCCAAATCTGTATCATCAGAGTGGACCAGAAAATATCCAGCCAGTAATTTATTTTAAACTGATTCCATACTGAGTACTCCTAGGCACCTGGCCAAAATATATGGAAAGGTTTATGTTATTACAGACTAAATAATGTGGGCCAACTCTTCCCTGAGTATAAACTAGAAAATCCAGACAAAATATACATTCAAAAACACTCTGCTTAGGATACCTGGGAACTAACAAGCTGTGACGAATTATGGGGCCAAGATTTGAAAGAAGGAAATCCAAGGGAGTTCATGTAACATTTGGGGCCACTTTTCCCCTAAGGCTGTCTGCTGATTCCAGAAGTGGTAGAGAAGCTAAGAAGTTGAGCAGAGATTCTGACAACCTTACTAGTCTAAGGGCCACAAATTGGAGTCCAGGGCATGCCACAGAGTGGAAGCTTGATAAATTGCCCACGCTCTAAGTTAGGGCATTGAAGGACGAAACCCTAGGACGAAATATGCACTAGAAATAGTGTGGCCCTGGGCCGGCCCAGTGGCGCACTGGAGAGTGCGCCGCTTGGGAGTGCGGCGGTGCTCCCGCC